ACAAGGAACGCCCACTAGCAAATCAAACTACACATTACCACGCCCACTCCCCCTAACCCTAAGCCTAAGCCTAAACCTAACCCAGTGTTTTACGTATTCGTTGTGGGCGTACCTTGTAATAATGGGTGTGACTTGTAAGGGGCGTGGTTTGTAATCCTGACAGATGTTTTATGCAGCTGTTTTTACGTATTTGTTGTGGGCGTACCTTGTAATAATGGGTGTGACTTGTAATAGTGGGTGTGTCTTTAAGGGGCGTGGTTTCTAATCCTAACAGATGTTTCACGTATTTGTTGTGGGCGTAACTTGTAACACAGATGGATACACTTGCACCAACCTGTAACTCCACCAAATTAATTCCCAACCATAAAAACCAAGGTGATCACACCATATACAATTTTTTTTTTTTTTACAATATAACTCAGTTACAAAACCAGCTATGAAATTATAAAGGCATGCAGGTTCATTAGAGTTCATAACCCTTTTTGATCTTCATATTGGCCAAATAACACATGTCCGTAGATAAAGCACTGCAGCCTCTGTTCCATGAAAACATCAAGAGGCGGTACTGCAGCATCTTCCTGCAATACATTTAACCTGATAAAAAAATCTTATGGTGTTTGAGCATTATCTTTAATAGAGATCAGGGAGGTAGCTGATGTGACCGTGCGCAGCATTATCAGTGAGCGTGGTCATTAAAAATGATTACAAGATGAAGTGAATTATGAACACAATGGTATTCACAAACGTGGATCAGTGAAGTGTGTGTGCAGAGAAAGTGTCACGAGAGAGCAGTTCAGATCTGCGAGCACTGAGCACTGAGACACACACACACACTTATTTTCCTCAAGGTCTGTCCTTGCTTGTGAGTCAAGGTGCAATTTTTAATAACAACACTCACTGATACTGCTCTGAGCACTCAGGTCATCCAATCTCATGCTCTCTAAGAAAGATAGCGTAGCATCTAAAAATTAAACTCCGCACAGGGAGTTCACTGCTAGCGGCACATAGCATCTTAAAAATTAAACTCCGCACAGGGAGTTCACTGCTAGCGGCACGTAGCATCTTAAATGTTAAACCCCGCACAGGGAGTTCACTGCTAGCGGCACGTAGCATCTTAAACGTTAAACCCCGCACAGGGAGTTCATTGCTAGTGGCACATAGCATCTTAAACGTTAAACCCCGCACAGGGAGTTCACTGCTAGTGGCATGTAGCATCTTAAACGTTAAACCCCGCACAGGGAGTTCACTGCTAGTGGCACATAGCATCTTAAACGTTAAACCCCGCACAGGGAGTTCATTGCTAGTGGCACATAGCATCTTAAACGTTAAACCCCGCACAGGGAGTTCATTGCTAGCGGCACATAGCATCTTAAACGTTAAACCCCGCACAGGGAGTTCACTGCTAGTGGCACGTAGCATCTTAAACGTTAAACTCAGCACAGGGAGTTCACTGCTAGTGGCACGTAGCATCTTAAACGTTAAAC